AATTTCAGAAGCAATTTTTTGGATGTTAATGTGTATGTGCGTTTGTGTATCTCAAAGACACAAATACACATACATCATTAACCTCTAAAATATTGTCTACCTGGTAAGATTATGATGAGCAACAGAGTTCCATCTTGTAAGATTTCCTAACCCTTGTGATCTCAGAATAATCTGATTATGTCGACAGTTTTCTATATAAACCGTCGTGGTTATTTCAATTCTTGTCATTAAGTAGATCTACCGACGTAGGATAACAAAATCCAAGAAATAAATTCTTAAAAAAAATTCTTATTCAGACGACGGTTTAAATATAATGTATGACGTATAAAGTGGATAAATACGACGTTAAATTGTATAATACGTCGTTAAATGAAAACCCCAACTTGGTGAGATTTAAAGATATCGTCGTAGAAATACGAGAAAGACGTCGTTATATTTATCTTTGCCGTAGTTGTACATTAATTTAATACGGCGGTATTTTGTATTTTACCGCCTGGATTTATTTGTAATTATACGGCGCCTTATACGAAAACTTGGTCGTGTTAATTTCTGGGTAAAAACGGTGGCTTTTTTTGAAATCTTCGTCTTTGCTTTCTACGTCGGTCGGTTCATAACTTCCGCCGTTATTTGTTGGCTATGATTTTACCACTTGAAAATCCTATTTCAATAAGACGTCGGTTTTTTAATTAAGTACGTCGTGTTTTAGTTGTCTAAGGTGTTATTACACGGCGGTTTTATAAAACTGTCGTCATTTAAAAAACAACGACGGTTTTCACTTAGACCGTCGTTTTTTTCTGGTTGTCTTTTTCACTTTTTGTAGTAGTGGTGATGTCCAGCAACTGTGTGGTATCCATTCCCTGGAGCACCAAGCCAAGAGTCCGAAAAGCAGCGCACCGTGGAAAGGAAGAAGTGATGTCAGTCATGTCCATGAAATCCCCATACTTGTCCAAAAATTTCTCTAAGGCTGCAACTGTTTCGGGATAAACGAGACCTCCCCGGAATGATGCATAGCCATGAAACCGGTGGCATAGTGGCAAGAGTTCACCTGCGGATCGAAGGACCTGAATACCACCATCAAAGAAAGCCATAAATGCAGCGAAAGATTTCTCCCACTCCAGCCAAGATGTGTCAGATGGATGTTCTGCAGCAGTATTCCCAGCAACAACAATGATAGCCTGGGCATTCTCAGCAGCGCACATGTTACCAGATGAAGACGCTGGAAGGAGTGCTAGGGCACTGGGGCTCTAGCGCCCGGAGAAATGGTTGAATGTGGTACGGAGCGGGCAACGTCCCGTGAAGGGCAAAGGTGTTGCTCCGGAGAGATGCCGGAAGAATCGGAGAAATAGCAAGTTCAAGGTCCCTCAGAAAAAGTGCTGGAAGACAGGAGGCAACAGGCTTGTGATTTGAAACATGGGTGTTGTGTCCCGAGAATTTGTTGACGTCATGGTCGAAGACGACTCCGCAAGGGCTACCTCAACCAATGTATCAAGGGTGTCGAAGGAGGGAGCCACCATGGGCATGATTTCCATGTTTTGGGCAACATGCCCAATCTGCAAAATATATATATATATATGTATGCAAGGATCAGTACGAAATGATTAATAGGTTGTGTGCATTAGCAAAGGAGAAAGAGAAAGGCGGTACCCAATAAGAAAGAAAAGGAGGGGGAAAAAAGGGGAATGAGATAAAGAGAATATTAGTGGGGCAGGTACCTCAGGGGTACTTTGTGCAGGGTCAACAATGGCCCCAACAAGGTTCAAACCTTTAGAAATATCGGTAACCTGCAAGATGGGCACGGGTGATAAGTAGATAGTTGGTGGTGCAAAGAAGGAGAGGGGAACAAAATTTAGGATAGACCAAGTACCGGCTCAACACGAATGGGGCGCACACTAACCCACAGATCCGGAAAAGGTATATGAGTCGCCTTGTTCTTCTGTATAACCATCGAGAGGTACGAATGCATCCCCATCATGGTCATAGTTGTCACTCTTATCATGCATGTCACCAATGTTATCAACATCCTCTTTCTCCGGAGTGCTAGCCTCAGACTCAGTAGTGTCACCATCATCGCTGTCATCATCAATTGTCACCACAGTTCTAGTTCCAAAGGCTTCGTTACTGCTTGTACGAGCCCTAGTGAATCTTGTTTGCAAGACATGCACACTGCGACGTTTTGGAGTGGCATGTGGGGACATGGAGGTTGTGCCACTTCTTTTCCTCTTTGGAGTGGTACCCATTTTTCCTATAATAAAAAAAAATATATGATTGGCTATAAAAAAAAAAGGGGGGTGGGGGGCAATAAAGAGAAAGAGAGGTGTGGCAAGAATTTAAAGGTGAGGCAACACTTACTACGAAGAGGGGTAGTTTCCAGCACCTTGCCAGCACGACCTCGGCTCTCGGATGCAGCAGGCTTTAAAGACTGTGGACATTCCAGGGGAGTTGCTTCTTTAGTTCGAGGAGGGCCGCTTGAGGCTACCTTTGGAATGAACTTTTTAGGTTTACGTGCAGTTTGCTTCGTCTTCACATTCTGCTCCTCCTCCCGCTTTCTTTTACCTGACACTGGTATTGCATCTTTTTCGGAACCACGAGGACTCTATACTCCCGGCTTTGGCTTTGTCTTAGGAAATTCTCCAACAATGTCACTACTCTTGGAAATAAAGGGCAAATTGCGTTTCTCGCTTAAGGGGATGGCTTTCTCTTCCGACACCAAGCCTGCAAGACGAGCTGTTGTAGGAGGCAATCTATCTCTAGGGAAAGCTTGCGAGGCAGCGGTTCCAGTAAGCTTGGTAGCCTCGTGAGAAGCAACCAATCCTCCCCTTGCTAGCTAAAACAAGGGGCCTGCAACTGTTCGGTATGGGGTCATTGCTCCAGAAAACTCTGTGTAGCGCGAAGGGGTCGGCATGGTTAGGACTGATTGGTACTCCTTAATCAAGCCCAAACTGTTGCCTAACCTGATGAGGTGCATAAGGTACATAAATTTCTAAGCGGCTGTCTCCAAGAGTAGGCAACGGGATAGGAGTAACGTTCAACAAGGCATACTTTCTGAACTGGCCACCTTGTGACATGGCTACTAAAACCTCAACAGTATCACTAACATCAGCATAAAAGGGCACAAAGGTGAAGGTCTCTGCCGAGGTGCCATAAGGACGGAAGACAAAGTTCTCAACCTTATCTAACAGCTTTAAGAAGTTCTGGCCTTTCCTCTGCATTCTCTTAAACCATCTGCAGACTAAGGGAATACTTTCCAGCATATAAGAACCCTTGCCCCAATCGGCCAGCTTCATAGCATGCGAGTGAGGGAGTGAATGTACATCCAACCCTTTAAGAAGTTCCCATAAAAACACCTGCAAGAAACCAGAATTCAAGAGGGTCTCCATACCCATGGTTCCGGAAGTACTTTTCTCCAAAAGCTGAGTTTGATTGAGCAGCCGGTATAGATGTCCCAAGAACATGGGGGCTAGGGGAATTGTGTCACCTCGAGCTATGGCCAAAGCCAAGGAGAACACATGCTCATGCAAGCAATCATGTGAAAAGTCACAAAGCACGAATCGCCCAAGCTTCAGTGCTATAAATGCAGCCAACCGGCAATGTTCTCGTCTGTTTGCATCACCGAAATATTGTATCCAGTTACTAAACTGAAGCGAGGTGCTGAGAGAAGTAGGAGCACCTCTCCGTAGAACTGCAAGTTTGTCTACCTCTTTCGGGGTGGGAGCAATGTCAAACGGACTCCGGTCGCCACAGACTGGGAGGCGAGAGATATTTGCCACGTCATCAAGGGTAGGGGTAAATTCTCCCCATGAACATACAAAGGTATGAGTAGCAGTGCTCCATCTTCGGACCACATGACAAAGCATTTTTGCTTCAATATGGATATACCACAATTTGGAGAGGAAGACGGCATCCAGGACCTGTGCTCTGCGCAAAATATTACAAGTGGCCGAATCCAGCAGCTCACGGTCAACCCATTCTGACCATCCTTTATATGAGTGCTCCCATATTGAAAGAATAGGGGAACGGCTGGAAACAGGCCCTTCTCAATGCAGCACCTCGATATGGAGGCAGGTTCAATTATGGGAGCAGCTTCAGGCGATCGCTCATAACCAACAACGGGATTCTCACGGGCACCTTCAAGTGATAAGAGAGACCCTCCTACTTTGAGATCATCATCCATAGAATAAAGGTGGTCCAGCATAATCGGTGGAAGATTAGTTGCCATGACAAAACCGATAAGGTCACAGATACCTGCAAAAAAAAAAAAAAAAAGGGGGAAAAAAAAAAAAAAAAAAAAAAAAATTC